GTATTATAATATTATTATAGATGAGAGACTGGAGAGAGAGATAGAGAGCAGGATGAGAGAGGGGAGGGAGTGAGGATGTGAGAGGGGAGAGCCATAAGCGAGCGATCGCGAGCCGAGATAGAAAGAGAGAGAGAGAGGAGAGAGAGAAGAGAGAGAGAAGCCAGAGAGAGAGAGAGGATAGAGAGGACGGAGATGAGGAGGAGAGAGGCGGAGGGAGAGAGAGACTAGTGAGAGAGAGATCGGATGTGAACGAGGAGAGAGAGAGAGAGAGGTGAGAGAGGGGGGTATTCAATATGGAGCGGTTTTTTGTAGGCGTCTTACGGCGCTGTGCCCTTTAGCGGAGTGAGAGGTGTATTAGGAGGAGCACGGTAACACGATGTCGGCGGTTTTCGGATTTTTTTAGTTTATAAGGAAGGATTTGATGGCGGCGCAGCTGCAAGATAAGTAAAATAAGCGGAGGTCGTAAGTTGAGCAGGAACAGTTATAGAGGCGGAAGCGTTTAGCGGTGCGCGCGCATGTTGTGTGCGGTTGTGTGTGCATGGTGCATGCGCGTGGGTGCGTGTTGTGGTGGGATGTGTGTGTGCGTGTGGTGTGTGCAGGTGTGGAGTTTTTATGTGTGATTAGTGGTGGCGAGATGGATTGTGCATAGTGTTGTGTGCGGTGTGGTGGCGTGGGGGTTGTGTGTGTGGTGTTATGTTTCGTGTTGCTGTGCGTGGTGTGGGCGTGTGGTGTGGGCGTCGCCCAACGGCCAATGGTGGGTGGGTGCGTGTGTGTGTATGCGTGTATGTGTGTGTGGAATGTGCGCGCGTGCGCGCGTGTGATCGTGCGGAGCTGAGTGTGGTGTGGCGGTGTTATGTGTTGTTGCGCGCGTGATATGGTGTGTGTGTCCAGGGGTAGGCTTTTCTAATGTGCTTATATTAGCCGATTAAAGTATGATAGAATTGAGCGGCATTGTATCAGATCAGAAGACATCATTTATATATATAATTATATGTATATATATATTATATAAATATATATCTAATGAAGAGAGGAGGTGAGATAGATAGATAGTAGATTAGATAGATAGTATGATAGATAGATAGATAGGCTAGATAGATAGAT